TATTTAGGCCTATCTATGGCCTTCAAAAAGTTGACAACTTTGTAACGTCGAAACATGTACAGTCGTCAACTTTTTGAAGGCCATAGATAGGCCTAAATAAAATGTTTTTTAATTGTGTACCAGTTTAACATTGAATATTATTTATGATTTTAACTTATTTACTATGTTTAACTAATGTAATCTTTTTTTAAGTTTAGTTTTATACTTTTTATTTATCCTAACTGTTTATTATAAAAATTCTCTACCTATTTCTGATTTTCAGCTTTTGAGAAATTAACTTGATTTTACTTTTGCTATCTTTATGCAAAAAGTCAGTCAAGTAAAATTAAAATATTTTTTTGGTGCCACTTAGTAAAATTAAACTGTGATCAGTCGTTTGAAACTGTACCTATTTTTACAAAAACAGTAGGAGCATCTTTCAAAGTTATGGAAAGTAGGTGGACCAGTTCATAAAATACATTTATAATGGATAACCAACTGGAAGGTTTCTTTGTAGAAGACACTTTTGTGAATCTTCTTTGAGTTTGAAATCCATTTTACCAACAATAAAAGCAAAGTATTAGACAGCTCAACAGATTCATTTCATCCTCTCATTCAGAACAATGAACTTGTATATTTTTGAGATTCCCAAATGACTTATAAATAATTTGATCAATCAACTATTGTTGGTTTGAGAAGTAGTTGTTACTGTAATCACACATTTCAAGAACAAGGTTGTTTTGAGTACAGTACTGTTCCAAAGAATTTTACCAGTGCACCAAGATGGAAGTTGTGGTGGTGATGGAGTATCTGCTGGGTCTCCATAACGCCTAAAGAGTTCGTAGAGATAATCTGCTTTATAAATTCCTGGAGGTCTTGCCTACAACAAATACAAGAAATGCAAATTAAAAACTCTGTGCTTTATTTTTCAAGTTATTGGATGGGTAACAGAACCACAAATAAAAACAAAGTTAACATTGTGATAACAGACACCTCACTGCCGTAGAGCAAAAGTAACAAAGAACATTGTTATGTCTACAAAAGCAGCTTAAAATGTGTGTCAAAGTGTGCAGATTTAAATTATGAATATAAAGTTTGAATTTGAAGATCCATAAAAATATTTTGCATTTTCTCTAATTATTAAAAGTTGTGTCTATTACTATAAATTTTTTACCAATAGAAAAAAAAAAATAGTACAGAAATTAAAAAAATAATTAATTGTCAGATATCAACAAGATATGCAAAAAAAAGTTTTGTATCTCCACAAAACAAAACCTCTGAAATTATAACCACAGAAGTAACAGTGTAACAACTGTTTCTGGATTGGTCATCATTAATGTAGCATTGATAATCATTTAAAAAAATTCAATTCTTATGTATGCATCATTTTATAGGATGTATAATGTAGAGTAGAAACTAATTTTGTAGGTGAATTTGATGTACTGAGTGATAATAAGTCATTTACAGCAACAACACAAAGTGAAAGGTCCTGTCCTGTAAATGTTACAAAAGATTCACTATGAAACCTTTCTCAGAATACACATAACAAAAGTTAACAGCACTATTAAAATGCATGTATTTCTCAACAGCCCCACTTGACTGAAAAGATTATTTACTAACTCCTTAAATCCAAACGGACGTTACCAGCATCTGGCTGAAAATGTCAATATACTCATTGGATGGTGGCAGCGTCTGATAACATTTATGTTTCTTTGCCTGAAAATTAATCCAAACCAAGTTATTATTCACCTTTCATAAATAGACCAGAAGTCCTGTGAAGCAATGGCATTTTTTTGAATACAAATTTGAGATCAACAGCAGAATGCACAAAAAATTAGGGGTTTAAAGAGCTAAAGATCAACACGTTTAATAGTTATGTCAGTTCTAATAAAGTTTTACTTTAATTAATTTTCAATAACTTACGAAATTTGCAAAACAATAATGAAATTTCAGTAATTCTGAAGAAACTCACCTTGCTAAAATCTTGAACAGCAGCTTCCACACTGACAAAAACATTCAACAATCAGTATAAAAATTGTCACAACCATTTCAGAAATGGCAAAATAAAGCACTTCATGTAAGAAGGTTTAATTTTTTTTATTTTAGCAGATTGTACTAAACCATTTGATTAAGTTGACAATTTTCATTTTCAACTTTATATATGCATGTAAAGTAATCAGGATTTCAAAAATTCACAAATTCCACAAAATTTATGAAAGACGTGTATAAAAATGATTAAACCACTTAATCTTCAAAATAATTGCTCTACACGCTATTCATTGATCCAAATCTAACACATCATGATACATCTAATTATACATTTCTGATTGACAAGGATGTTACTTTCAAATGATGTATTTTATAACTAAGTTTTACATTTGTTGACAAATGTATGTACATTTGTTTTTATATTGCCATATATCACACGAGTTTAATTTATTTGGAGACATCTTTATAAATAACCTTTTCCCACAAACACTGCTTCTAATCTGTTTATTGTACACATCATAATCGAAAAAAACAGGGATGAGAATCGGTCAAGCTTAAAAAAAATTTGGAGGTTGATAGGAAGCACAGTCGAGTACATGATCGTCACCATTGTCTGGAGGGAGAAGGTAAGGAGGGTAGAATATCAGTTATTTTTTAACAGAAATCTAGTGCATTTTAACTTAATATTTATATCTTCAGGCAGAATCAATATTAATGTTAATATTATTGCTTCTATACTGTGATCTCATATATATGTGTGAATTAATAATAGTACAAAAAACACCAACTCTTCATAACAGGACATTATTTCGTTCACGAACATTATTATTTCAAGAAAAAGTCACGAGTTTGTTATGCCACATTTTCCACTTTCTCGCTGACATTTTAACATTCAAACATCACTACCATCAGAATTTCTCCTTGCAACCGCTGTCAATCCCCCTACATTGTGTGCATTTTCATCATCAACATGCATCATTGAAACAAAAGCAACAAAAATACACGTGCTAATTCTAACATGGTGCCGATCGACTGAGCAGACTTTCAAACTTTAATGTTTATCTGGGGCATATTTTCTGCAACATATGCAAGACAATTTCATTTGAAACCTTTCCTCATCAGATTTGCACGAATATCGTGAATGAAGAGTAGCATGTCTAAAAAAAAGCGGGAAACTGCCAATCAGTGGGAGATTCTCATCCATGTAAAAAGCAAAACAACCAGACCTTAATGTAAACCAGTCAAGGTTTCCATTTTGATGACCCAAAACTTTAACGGTTCTAAATTTTATCCAAACTTATTTTAAAGCATTAAATACAAAGATACTTCTCAGAAAATATTAATAAATTAACAAAATAAAACAACAGTGTTCCTTGTCTTAATAATACTGAACTCAAAAACAAACTGAATAAATTCTCACCTCCAAGAAAGATTCTCTACAAGATATGATACTATCAAGAAACCAGTCCTGTTAAACCCATGAGTGCAATGGACTCCTACATGAAAAATCAACCATCAGTATTAAATGTAATTTACTATATATATGCTCACCTTGAAAAGAAAGAAAAATGTCTTTGATTTTTCTTCCTTCATACCCAAAATAAACTTGATTTGAGATAAATCAAAAGTAATACATTGTTAAAACTTTTCCAGTGACTTTGTCTGTGGTGATGAATAACTAGTTGACAATGTTTCATTAAAATTACACTGCCTATTTTGCAATTATATAATAACTTCTACCAGATGTAAAAAAGGGACTGTTTGTTTGTAATTAAGCACAAAGCTACACAATGGGCTATCTATGCTCTGCCCATCACAGGTATTGAAACCCAGATTCTAGCATTTAAGTCCACAGACATACCACTGTACCACTGGGGAGCAAAAGAGACTGACATGTATTTAATGGTCAACTATTCTTACTTTGAACTCCTTCCTTCTGTAAATAAGTAGAAATAATTTGCTTGTGATGAAAAAAGATCCATCTTTTAAAAGTGCATGGGTCATAGGATTTCATATTTTTGTCTTTAATTGACTTTTTTTTTACACTAGATGTTTTCCTAACATCATGAATGAATCCACTTGTAATAGTTATAAAAAAAAAATTAGAAAATTTTCTCTTGAGGAATCACATTTAACTTATTGTCAAATTCAACCAGAGAAACTTTTGTACAAGAAATGGTGACCTCTTCCAAAAATTACTATTTCTGTGCTAAATTATGATTGCTCCATCAGAAACTATTTCAAGCTGGTTAACCATGAGAAGATTTTATAATAATACTTGAGCTCGTTAAAGTGACACACACTCAGAGTCTAAAAACAATAAAAATATTCATAGTTGGATATTATTTTAAGGTGTAATAAGCTTCCCTAAATATCATGGTTAAATTATATTACGACTCTTATTTCATTGCATATAAAATTTAATTTCTAAATAGCAAGAAACTTTTTCTTTCAAGCTACAGAAAACTTCATAATTCTCAAATACACAACCAGAAAGGAAAGACTAATTATTTCACTGACTTTTTATCCATACAAATTTTGGGTCATATAAAACAGAAATGGCCATTTCCTTGTTAATTGATAACTCTTAGAATTGCTACAACAAAACATTAAATGAAGAACAAGTTTCCACACTGTCAAAAATATTCCTAGTTATTGATTAACTTTTTATACTTCAGAAACTTACCAATGATATCCAATGGGTTTTTGGAAATGAAATTGTGACAGACCTGGATGAACGTCTCAGTTTGCTCCACTGATGGAGTTTCCCCATGCCTGGTGCACAAAAATAAAGAAAATTGTCAAATTTACACTTGTTCATAATAAATCATATACATTACCAATAATTCCTCTTCATTTATTTGTATAATGACATAATAACTTCTACCAGTTAATAACTTTAATTGGAAAACAAAAAACAGGAGGTTTTATTAAATTTTTACAAGCTTACATCCTGTCACTGGAAGATTTATGGTATTAGCTACAACTTGTTCCCAATCTTCAGTATGAAGAGTGAGATTCTGTCAACAGTAAAAAACGTCAGAGTAACTCTCAAACAACATGTCAAAGTAAGTACTATATAGTGCTGAGACACAACTCTACAGTAAATACCACACCATTATGAGACACAGCTGTACAGTAAATACCAAACCGTCATTCTGAGACACAACTGTACTGTAAATATTACATCATTATGAGACACAACTATACAGTAAATATCAAACCGTTCTGAGACATAACTACAGTAAATACCACATCATTATGAGACACGTGTCTTAGTGGTGTATAGTACTTATTTTGTCATCTTGTATGGTATTTACTGTAGAGTTAATTCTGCAGTAACCACCATATCCTGCTGAAACAAAACTCTGCAGTAAATACCATACAAGATGACAAAGTAAGTACTATACAGCACTAAGACACAACTCTGCAGTAGCCACCATATCCTGCTGAAACAAAACTCTACAGTAAATACCATACGAGATGACAAAGTAAGTACTATACAGCAATAAAACACAACTCTGCAGTAACCACCATATCCTGCTGAAACAAAACTCTACAGTAAATACCATACAAGATGACAAAATAAGTACTATACACCACTAAGAAACAACTCTGCAGTAACCACCATATCCTGCTGAAACAAAACTCTGCAATGAATACCATACTCTGTTGAGACACAACTCTGTAGTTAATACCCTACAATGTTGAGTCACAACTCTACAGTGAATACCCTACCTTGCTGAGACACAACTCTGTAGTTAATACCCTACCATGTTGAGTCACAACTCTGCTGTGAATATCCTACCGTGTTGGGATACAACTATATGGTGAATACCCTAGTGTGTTGAGACACAACTCTGTAATGAATACCCTAAACTTACTGAGACACAAACTCTGCAGTGAATACCCTACCATGTTGAGTCACAACTCTGCTGTGAATACCCTACCATGTTGAGATACAACAATATGGTGAATACCCTAGTGTGTTGAGACACAACTCTGTAATGAATACCCTAAACTTACTGAGACACAAACTCTGCAGTGAATACCCTACCGTGTTGTGACACAACTCTGCAGTGTCACTGATATTACCTTTAGTAAACAGCATATTAGAATTTTTTACATAAAAAATAGTTAACATGTTTTTGACCTTTTTTAACCCATCATACAAAACTTAAATGCACTTCATTGTCTGTTTAAACTTCATTAACTTAACTACAATAATAAAATGCTTGTATCTTTCAACTTTAATATGTACAAAAACCTTTATGGCTAAAACATATCGCATGTCTGACTTTAAGCATTTTGTTCTAATAAATGATTTATTGGTGTTTTATTCTTGACAGGAACTAAATAATAAGTGATTGAACATTGTGATAAAAACACCTGAAAGCATCAAGCTTCAGTTAAACTTGATTATATTTTTAATATATACCATTTAATGATTAACACAACCTACGTCACCTACGTAACATTACACAGATAATACTGTTGATCAAATAGTTACTTTCATATTGGTTTAGAGCTTTAGTATATTATTGTTTAAAAATATGTTTGTTTTATAATTATCAAGTAACCAAAGAGAAATTGTTGGATATGTCTTGTTCACAATAACCTAAGTGTGGCATAGTTTATGTGACCAAGTTAATGTGTTACTTTTTGGATGGAGTAGGACTGCCATCTAGTTATATAACATTAAATATTCAGATACATAAGCTGAAAACAAATGGATATTTAAAAAAGATATCTTTTAAAACACTGAAAAAAAAAATATTATATAATCACATATTAACTAAGCTCTAATGTATATAGGTACAAACTTATTTAAAAGGCATTACTTTATCTCACATCGGCTAATTAGTATTACTTCCTTATTTTGTGTGTATTTAAAGCATTATGGCTTACCCCCTGCATTGAAGCTTTAAGTACTTGATCCCTTCAGCTTCAATGTCTTTCTTGTCGTAGAAACGAGAGGTATTGGTCAAATCTATCCACAAGCCTAACTTTACCTGAAACAGTACAGGAGTAATTATTCAGTTGCTATTATTTTTTCAGTCATTATGAAAAGTATGAAAATCACTTGAAGTTTTTTTGTTTATGTTTTTAATAAAATATTTTTAGCTTGTTTCTTTTAAAAGAAACAGCTAGTTGTTGAAATTTCCATGTAGTTTTACATCAAACAGAAGTGAATTCAAGACATAACATTTAAATACCATACCAATAATCATAATAAACCAATATTCTACAGTATATTTTATACAAGTAAATGAAGAAAATTTGTCAAACCACATTTGTAGTCTAGTATATTTGTATTTTTTATCTCTCCAAGCATTAAAAACTTTACTACTACATTACTACTACTACTACTGTACTTCCAAATACAGGTTGATAAATGTACTACTGCTGCTACTGTACTTTCAAATATAGGTTGATAAACCCATTACTACTACTACTACTGTACTGCCAAATACAGGTTGCTAAACGTACTACTGCTGCTACTGTACTTTCAAATATAGGTTCATAAACACATTACTACTACTACTGAGTTGCCAAATACAGGTCGATAAACGTACTACTGCTGCTACTGTACTTTCAAATATAAGTTGATAAACCCATTACTACTAGTAGTACTGTACTACCAAATACAGGTTGCTAATCGTACTACTGCTGCTACTGTACTTTCAAATATAGGTTGATAAATTCATTACTACTACTACTACTGTCCTGCCAAATATAGGTTGATAAACCAACTATTGCTACTACTGTACTTCCAAATATAGGTTGATAAACCCATTACTACTACTACTACTGTACTGCAAAATAAAGGTTGATAAACCAACTATTGCTGCTACTGTACTGCTAAATACAGATTAATAAATCCATTACTGCTA